GTATATTTCATTGTATATTGTATTTAACGTGTACTTAAAAGAGAAGTAGGGTGCTTTAGAAATAATTAGAAAATGTATAATAAAAATCATAAGTCACACCAAAGAATTTCTTTATACGGATAAATGTGTTGATAAGTTATAGCGAGTCTTAGTTTACAAAACATTCCCAAAAGACAATGCGAATACTCAGTTGAGTACAATATGATAGGAATTGTGCTTAAAAGTTAAACTGATGTTAATAGCTTAGAGGCAATAAAGTATAATAAGTGCAATAATATTGTGAATCAAAGTAAACGTTTATTACTTCTTTATTTAGAAGAAAAAGCACTTCTTTGTTCTCAAGACTCAAATTTCTTCAATTTTTTCAAAATATCTCTGGAGAGGAAAGTTTGGAAACTAAAGTTTTTCTGACATTTTTTTGGACATAAAATAAGTTTTCACTCAAATAATTCATACAAATTATTGCTTTTTGTTGTTATTATATAATATTTGATTGTTTATAATTGGTATTCAAATATTTTTTAAATTATATTTTCGTTATTATTTCGTGTGTTGTATTGATTTTGCGGACTATTGTTATATATGAGACAATTCTGTCATAAATTCTATTTAAAGAATTATAGGATTTTCATTCATATCGTGGAAAAGGAAATTAATTTTTATGTCTTAACAAAAATATAATATAAAAACATAAAGAATATCAAAGTTTTATTAACAGTAACAAAGATATATAAAAATCTGTATAAATGATATTATTTTGTTTGCCGTGAAAAAATTAAAATAAATAGACTTTTCTTTGCGGAGACAGTGATTGAACGCGTGATTGTGTGATACCAACAGTGCTAATGAATTTCAATGTAAACCCGTAGTAAATAGTGTAGTATATTATAATATATGGCGGGAATGCCTCGGATTTGAGATAACAGTAAATCTAATTTTAAACTCACAAAACCAAAAAACAATTCTTCATTTATAGTGCAAATGGCTTTATATAAATGTTTTAAACTTCTGTATTTGAGAGTATTATTTGGAATTTTGATTTAACATTCATTGTGTAAATCTAGAGAATTATAGTGATATAAAGCTTATCTAATATGATCATAAATTTTGGTATTTCTATATTCAATGAATATTTTGAATGTGTTGACCACGAGTCTCACTCACAGACTCATTCACATAGAAAAAGATTTTTAATCAAAGCTAAAACGACCAGAGAATACTAGAAATGGAAATTTTTAAATGAAAACATATTAAAGTCAACTCTAAAATATGGTGATTGTTTATATAATGTATTTGAAAATCTCGTTTTGCTGGATTTGAACATTTGTTAATCAAATTATAAAATGTCACGAAAACTTTGAAAGTTATAACAACTTGAAAAGACGTTTGATTTAAAATTTATTATTTTGTATACAAATGCAACTTATTTTATAAATTAAATTTCACATTCGATCTCAAACTTACAGTCATAATGTTTCACAAATCTATTGTTTGATCTTATTTTCATCTCATTTGATATTTGCATTTTTTAATAATGTTGTTTACAAAATAAATGTAAAAGTTTATTTCTCCAAACTTCCTAATAGTTTGCATGTACTTATATACACATTGATATAGGAATAAGTAGACAACTGAATTTAAACTGTTATTTGATGATTGCTTTCATTATTTTTTAGTTTGTATTCAAATAGTTTACATTAGAATTGAGCATCATGAAATGTTTAAACGTTTTGTTTCATAGAAAATTAATATCTTTTAACATAGAATTCTCAATACATATAACATTATTCATAACTTATAAATAGAATAGAAATCTTATTAACAGAGAAATGAAATTATGGCGTGAAATATGGTTTTCATCTTTCAAACCACGATAAACATTGTAAAGGACAAAGATCATTTATTCTACTCATCACTATACCATACATTTATTTCAAATCTGTACTATTAACGCATCTTAGCTTTTCAATTCTTACCAATACAAACTTTTTGTATGTCATAAATCATAACTTATGATTAATATTTAAATGGACAATTAACTTGTTAATTCTAAACTTCTTAACATTTCTAATCATTTTAATTTTACTAATTGAAAAGTTAAAAAGTTATCAAACCATAAATTACTTTACTTTTATAATAAATTTTTATTATGAATATTACTATAGTTTACTGTTATATAAAAATTAGCCGTTAATAAAATACTATAGTGAAATATTGTACTACTGTACATATATTAGACAATGCAGATTGTGTTATATTTCTATTCTAGTAATCATAGTTTCTATTATTGTCAAATAGCAGTCAATATAATCAGGCATTTTATTATACATGAATGATATATAAATTCAAATCATTAGACTTTAAATTATAGAATAGGTTGAAGAGATGGTAATGAGGTTTGAAGACTAGTCACTAGTATTAGTTCGTGTTGAGCATCAGATCATTGTGTCAGTCCCTTAAGGAATATTTACATTTGAAGAGTTAATGGCTATTCTAATGCTTTATTTGCAGGAATGCCACCGGTATTGGTATTGGTGTTGGTGTTGGAGATACCGTGCCGTTAGTTGACTGCAAACTAATTGACAGATACTGTGAATATGCGCTCTGTGTCTGACATGGCATCCCTTCTCAATAGCTACTGACTTGCCGTCAGAGAAAAGTCTTACACTTGTCTATCATATCTCATTTCACCCATTCTTGATGTCGTCAAACATATGATAATAATGTTTTGTATATAAAATAATTAATAATTAATATAATAGAGTCGATTTTCATTGCAAACACAACACTTACGGTAGTTATAGGAATCAAAAGTGATCTCAAAACCAATTTCTTCATCGAATGCTTCATTAGTTTTAGTCATAAATAAATATAAGAACTAAAGATTTGAAGGCATCTCAAGAATACAAAATGGATTTCGATGTCACAAACAATTCGACGACAAATATTACTCTTCCATTGTGTCTGAACGCTAGCATTCAGTCTATAGAAAACACATCCAAAATACTATGTATTGCCAACAACTGGACTACTGAGCCTCCAGTACCCGAACAAGAATGGGAACTGCCGTTCAATTTATGGCAAACAGTATTCATAGCTACTTGTATAGGCATTTGTATTATTATTACAGTTTTAGGCAATATTCTCGTATTAACGGCATTTGTGGTCGAGAGGGCTATTCGACAGCCGAGTAATTACTTTATCTGTTCTCTGGCCGTCTCTGACCTACTCATCGGAATCATATCAATGCCATTCTATGCCGTATATGTGCTGATGGGTCGCTGGGAATTGGGTGCTATTCCGTGTGATCTATGGCTGGCCACCGATCACACCGTATGTCTGGTCTCTATATACACCGTACTTCTTATAACTATAGACAGATACTGTTCCGTAAGAATTGCCGCCAAATATAGGAATTGGAGAACTAAGCGAAAAGTGCTATGGATGGTAACCATCACATGGATTGTTCCATTTCTTGTCTTCTTCATCAGTATCATGGGTTGGGAGCACTTTGTGGGGCGCCGGGAGTTGGAGCCATACGAGTGTGCCGTTCAGTTTCTCAAGAATCCTGTTTTCAACACATCTCTTATAATCGGATATTTTTACGTCACTATTATTGTGCTCTTCATTCTCTATGGAGGCATATATAAGACGGCCAGTGATATGGCCCGCAAGGCTGAGGCCAAGCAGAAAAAGATGCAGACATTGGTGTCCATGAGTCGTCCCAATGATCCCAAACCAGGTATTGTCATCTCTAAAACTCAAAGCACTCTTTTAAGTCAAGACAAACCCAAAGGCCAATCCCTGACCACTGGTGCCAATGATCAGCACGAAGTCATGGGTTCGCACAATGCGGTCAAGAACTTAGAGACCACCAGTTTTAACGAGAGGAAAGACAACTCAGATCAGGACAGATCCAGTTCTCCCATCTTTGACTCGGATGAAGAGTCGCCGCCAACACAACACACCCTTCCAGTAGTGAAGCCCAAAGTGAAGAGCAAAGCGGCAAAAGTGACCAAAAGTGGAAAACACAAGAGTAGTGCCAATATTAGTAGTAAGAAGGGGTCGACCATTGAGGCCATCATTCAGCCACAATCGACGCTTACGGCACTCATACCCAGGTCTCCACTGATTACTGCGACCACAAAACTCGATCTGATTCCTCCTCAGAGTTTAATTAAAGACAATTCCGTGAAGACATCGAAATGTAGCACAGAATCCAACGATTGGCAGAAAAAATCTGATTTAAGCGCTAAACAAATTAGTAATGACAGCGAAAATGTATCGATTGATGAGACGGAGGCATCAATTAATAATCAGCGCCGACCGGAACCGCCTTCAACTCTAGACATAAAGCCCATCATTAACGAAGAGCCACCCATCCCTATGGAAGTCAATCACTTTGTTGATTACTGCGACCACAAAACTCGATCTGATTCCTCCTCAGAGTTTAATTAAAGACAATTCCGTGAAGACATCGAAATGTAGCACAGAATCCAACGATTGGCAGAAAAAATCTGATTTAAGCGCTAATGTATCGATTGATGAGACGGAGGCATCAATTAATAATCAGCGCCGACCGGAACCGCCTTCAACTCTAGACATAAAGCCCATCATTAACGAAGAGCCACCCATCCCTATGGAAGTCAATCACTTTGGATTCATTGATCAGGAAAACAGTTTAGGGATCGAGTCTTCCAAATGCAGTGATTGTCACCAAAGGGAGAGTGGCTCTCACTGTCCGATACAGTCCAACAGTGCAGCCATAGGTGTCCACAACTGCAACAACTGTAAGGCATGTGAAGCCAATAATAGCAACAAGTCTTCACCTGTCAGTGCAAAGGCAGTCACATCGACCGGAAGGGTCACCACTTATGTTGATTGCAATCTCGTAGACAATTCCAAGACTACCACTCGCGTCACAAAAGCTGATGAATTGCAGCCAATTATAGATAACGATCCCTCAAATAGTTGTGGACTGAATAAAGAGCATAGAATGGAGGGTCCCGTCAGTCCTACCGGTGATGGTGGCAATGGAGGCACTGAAGTGGACACAACTCGCGCTCCTTTAGCTCAGTCTCTGAGCAAAAGAATACGAAACGGAAGGCGAAAGAAGGAGAAGCGACAGAATCGGAGTAAGAGTGAGAATAGGGCGCGAAAGGCATTGCGGACCATATCTTTCATTTTGGGCGCATTCGTCATCTGTTGGACCCCTTACCACATCACAGCCCTCGTCGAAGGCTTTTGTTTGGATCGACTCAATGGATGCGTTAATAAACATCTTTTTTATTTCACATATTTTCTCTGTTATGCCAATAGGTTTGTAATTACCATAAAATAATTAGATATGTGTGTTGTTTGTGACATATGTCTGAAAATGCATTAATTCTTGAAAATAGTGAACATTAATTCCTATACATTCCTATGCAGTCCTATGCAGTCTATGCAGTCCTATACAGACCACTGAACTCTAATTTGACTTTTAATTTTAATTTCAGTCCTTTGAATCCGTTTTGTTATGCATTAATGAATCAGCAATTCAAGAAGGCCTTCGTTAGGGTTTTGCGCGGAGACTTACACCGGACTTAATGGCCAACCCTTTCCTCATCATATAATTGACTATATTTTTAGCTCTTCAAGCACTTCAAACTCAACACAAAAACATATCTGTTATTATGTTTTGACATTTTTAGCTCCAATTGTTATCCGATTTCCAATCGCTTCAATACTCATTTTAATAGAGATATAAATAAATGTATTGTAATTATAAAATGAGTTTATAATGTATCGTCAAGCAAACTTTTCAATACATTTCGCGACTGTTTATGATCACCTCATCGCTGGTTGACTTGCGGTCCATCTAATTATCATTGATTAACATAACATGCATTTTGTAAATATACTACACTATTATACAGTATTTAAATTCATTATAAGTTACACTAAAAACTTATTTATTAATTAAATGTAAATTTGGCTCTTTTTGTTACGCATAAGTTATTTGTAATTAATTAGAAAGTGAAACAAAGCTATAATCATATTACATAGATACAACCCATTTATCGTACAATTAATTACATTGCAAGTTATTTAGTCAATATTAACTGTATTATAAAATATATTAATTTATAAATTCTCATTTATTTTTATTAAATACCCACTAATTGTCTGTTTATTCCATTGTTGGTCATAAAAATATTTATTAAACTATTAAAAAATCTATAAATTCTATTTAAGTCATCAAGTAATCACTTAAATAATTGATAAGATTGTACCGAAAAATATAGCTTTCATTAATAATTTTAAATTACATTATTATCTGATTTGTAAATACGGTATATACGGTTTTGTTTTACATTTTATGAATTTTGAAAATACAAAAAGTCATTTAAGACTTGTGAATTTTGCCCAAAACTATCCAATTGATCCTGAACATCTCCCCTACAAAATCCGACTAGTCTAACAAATTTTTGCTCAATTCAATTGATTTATAAAATTAGAAACAAAATATAAATATAATAATGTTATAATACAGATATTATACGGATATTATTAGTATAAGATACAGTAACTTATATTAATTTATAAAAATACAATGTGCAATATATAAGTTAGTAGCGTAGTGCCAGATTGTCAGTGCAAATAATTTAATAAATTAATAGTTTCAACATTTAGATTGTTTTCATAGATTATTAATAAATTAATTGATAAATGTATTTATAAATCAGACAATAATAATGAATGGACACAAAGTATCCGACATTTAGAGTGATGGCTGAGTTAACTCTTTTGTTAATTTTTGATAAAATATATGTTAGAATTAAAGTCTATTTAATGAAATAACATACATTTTCATTTTCTAATTATACTTTTTTGTGATATTATTCTGGAATATATTCAATAAAGCAATTATAAATTTCAACATTAAACTCAACTCAGAATTTAAACTAATATTAACTGATTTTAATCGATTTTAATGTTTCAATATTTAATCATTTAAATATTTACAACTATTTATAAAAATAGATTGATCACAAAATTTAGGCACAATTTTAGTTTCTTATATAATGTCTTCTTGGCATTTAAAAAATAAATCAAATGCCAAATTATAATTCATTTATAAATTTTATCAAATTGTATTTAATCCATACAATAAAGTAATGTAACAATTGTTTAGTATAGTAAGCTACAGTACTTACAGGTAGTATAAGTAAAAACAAAACTATTGATTTATTTTGTGGTCAGTTAATCTATTCAATTCATCGATTGATTTATTCAGTGATTTTCCAAGAAAAACAAATTAGTTTAATACCTTAAGTCTAAAGTAGTATCGTAAGTAAATTAACTTATCATCAATATTAACTTAATTTGCAGTAATATATTTTATAGGTTTATTTAATAGTAGTATTTTATTTGTTGTTTAATATTTAGTATTTGTTCATTTAGACCAATGGTTTAAGTTTTAAATAAACATAATGTCAAATTATTAATACAATTAGTATTAACATTAAACAATTAATAGTACAATAAATAATAATGAATGTCGAATAATAACATCAGTGCAATAAAAGTATTTGAAATGTGATACTAATAAGTGAATTAAGAGAATATAGTATAATAGAAAAGTTATACATTAGATATAATACTTAAATACTTATAAAAGTTAGCAGAATAGTAGAAGCTCATAATCGACTCTATATTGAATTTGTATGTGTATTGTGTTATTAATATTATATTAATATATCACACGAGCTGTTAAAAGGTCTTAAACATAATACAATATTAATAATCTTAGTGGTGGTGACGAGTTGTGGATACCGTATATCTCTGATGATTAAGAATTTCATGTATATTATGACTCAATCTTTCTTTTTAATCTTCTGTTCCAATACATCAATGGACTGATCAAAGGGACCGAACATATACTTGCCTTTGCTGTAAGACATATCATGTGGACAGTGATGAATGATATTAATGTATAAACCTCATACCTATCCGGATCAGTGGAAACCCAGAAGTCATAAACAAGGTCTTTGAATCTATCAGACGTCATGGCGTTCCCGTTTGCCACGTCTTCCTCCTATTAATAGCCAAAGAATCAATAAAAGGCTAACTTTTGCCACTCATTTCAATACAATGAGCATATATTTGAAGTGTTCGTCAGCTTTCGAAGTGTCCATCGTTTGACTCGTCAGGTATTTCTTATAGTCTTTCAAACAGAATAATCCGTCTTCTGATACCGTAATATAAGAATCAATTAATTTCAATGATTCTGATTATTATATTCTCTTATCTATCTTTCTATCAAAACTAATAATAAGTAATGAGTTTTGAGTTCTTTGAAAAACTTTTTAATAAAGTCTCACTAATGACTCCTTTAAGGAAAAGGAGGGAAGGAGGAGGGATAGAGAGCTGATAGCAAACGACTCAATGAATGAATGGATGAGAGAGAGAGAGAGAAAGAGAGAGAGAGAGAGAGAGAGTCGAAAGATTCGCTAAAATCCAAAGACGAGGAAAATTAGAGAAAGAAAGAGAGAGAGAGAGAGAGAGAGAGAGAGCTAACTATTGTAATCGCTGCACAAGAAGAATAGGTGGAGATATGTCTTCAAGAATTCAGGCAATTCTTGATGTGTTTTAGTGTTCTTTCCCAAAGATTCAAAGAATTTGAGCCATTCATCAAATTCGATGAGAGTGTCCTCCAAAACAGAACAGAATAATAATAAAAGTTACAGATTCTGTCAAACATAGTACTTATAGACGCTTTTTAGATTTTATTAATTTATATTAACTTTATTCTCGTCGGCATATGAAGTCAATTCATTCCACCACTTCTCGAATATGGCTTTCCATCGATCGACCACTTCTTTCTCTAATTTTCCTCGTCTTTGGATTTTAGCGAATCTTTCGGCTAATGTCTGAAAGCTATTCCACGACAGAATGCCTTCACTATTGGCGTCTATTTCCATAAAACAAATGTTTTATTTGATTTGAATAAATTAATTAAACATCATATTTATTGACCAGATCATTTAATATAAACAAAGTTAATATCAAAAAGAAATGATCAGATTCTATTCTTTTAATATTGTAAACTAAATGTATTCAATAGAATGTGACTATTCTTTAGAAAATTTAATATATAATAAAAGCACATAAACGCCAACATATTTACCCCAAAAATTTAAATATGTAAACAAATGCTTTTGTCTTAAAGTCATTATATTTCTTTGGTTTCCTAAAATTTAAGATAGAAATTAAGATTTTTAGTTCAGTTTAGTTTTCAATTTAAATTAAATCTGTTTTTTATTAGTGATATAATTATAATAAATTATAAATTCTAATTATAAATTACTTAAAAATAGTACATTTGAAGATATTTCGTACATAGTACTATAATAGAAAATACTGTAAATAAAAGAAAGTCAGTTTTATATCATATATAATATTCTTTATATTTAAACCATAATTCCTGAAAAACTATTTTATACTTACATCGAATGTTGGGAAACTAATGTAAGTTAATTTAAATAGATTTTAATTATTAATCTCTTTTCATTTCTACATTTTAAATTTTTATATAATAATTTTTATATTAGTAATCTATAATTATAAGTTAGGTTTAAGTGAAAGAAAATAGACTCGCAAACATTACAAAATTTGTGAAAACTTTTATTTTATAAAAATGTGAGTATAGTTTTTATAAAATAAGTGCAAAACATTAGCGCAATATCAGCCAACATCCGGACGCACTCTTTTCTGCCGATTTGATGGCATCACTTAATATTAAGGAAATTATAAAATACCATAAATGCCATTAAACTCAACTTTTCTTAACATATTTATATAATACAGTATATCTTTTCTCAAATACTTTACAGTGAAATTCATTTTCACCCAATTTATGATTTTATGTGTAGAAAATAATTTGTTTTTTGTTTTCAGTGTGTAATGTGGGATTCATATAAAAACAAAATGTTTTATAACTTTTAATTTTTAAAATTATAATTTTTGTCTATTTATGTGATTATGGTTAGATATACAGTAAAACAATATTCTTTGATATTCAATGATTTAATACAATATTCTATATAAGAATTTAAAATAATCAAAGCAATAAAATAGCAGTATACTTATTAAATATTCTCTAATAAACAATTATTTATTTTACTAATTAAGTTTTTAAAATTTTATTTCTTACCTCAAATGAAGTGTGAAAGAATGTTAACGATATGGTTACAAAATAATTTGTAATATTTTATAATTTTCAATAGTTGAACCTAAGATTTAAAAATGGTAAATTGTATTACAAAAAATATCTTATTTTTAACACTTACAACATATTATTAATTAATTTTAAAATGTTGTTTTAATGTTTATACTAACGATTTAATATAAATGAATTAAATGTTAACATTAATATTTTTGTAAAAATTTATATTAGTATAGAATTAAGATAAATAATTTAATCTTACCACAACACTTATCAAATTGTAATTAATATATTAATTGTCTAATTATTTGCACAATTAATTCACAACATTAAAAATTGCTATGAAATGAAATAATATGAAATGACTACCAGATTCTGTGGTTTAAAAAGTGAGTGTAAGTTTCAAAACCAAATAGAGTCTGACTCCTATGCAAATCTATAATTAGCTCATCTCAGTAAATGTTTTTTGCAAACATTTTAGTAATTTATTTTATGCGACAAAATTGTGGTAATTTTTGTTCAATCGTTCTCTAAGACAGTGTACTTTTAAAACTTGTATACTTGTATATTATGATTGCAGAGAAACACAGCGAGAATGAGAGAAAATCTGTCATCTCATGAGTTATTATTTCAAATGAATGATAGAATTGTAAAATCACAACATTCTTGAAAATTCTGTATTATTATTAATCTTATTAATATTATGAATATGGCACAGTATCGTATACTGTTATATAAACATTTGAGAAATATTTAAAATGTAATAATAGTGTCAGGTCTTTCAGATCTAATTATATTTATATCATTTTAATGTTTAAAGTAAATAAATAGGTTTAATATTATGTATTCTTATTAGAAGGTATGGTTCACTATTTTTAGTCATTTTTAGTGTTTATCATATAAATTGAAATGGATTAATGTAAAACAAATTATTTAATCATTTATGGTTTTATTTTTAGAATTTAATGTTCATTAAACTTTAAAATATTGTCAATCAAAACATACAATAATTATAAATTATTTTACAATTGAAGTAAAAACAACGAGAATATATTAATAAATCAAACATTTAGTAAAAAGTCAAATATACAGTAAATATAATACAGCTTGTTTGTGGTATAGAGTAATTCTTAATTTGAAAATAGTATGCTGTTAATTATCATCAAAAGTATCAAGATGAAAATGACCAAGAAGTTTTAGTAAAGATAGAAAGAGTAATATATGTTTGAACAATAATTTTAAACTAAAAATAATTAGTTCAAGTAATAATCCAACTGTAGTGGGTCTACTGTTTTATATGCTGAATAAACAAATATAAATCAAAATGATATAAATGTCTGTTTTTAATTTAGTTTTCATAATATTACAGGCCTTTAACTTAAAACATATTAATCTAATTATGTTAATTTAGAGTCATATTGATACTTTTAATGAAATTAATGGCATTCCTATTTTAATTATAAATTGTGTATTAATTATTCATTAGAAAAACTTTAATAAATACTGGCTTTACTTCAAAATTAAAAATTAAACTATAAAATAAAGATATAAAAATGCAATAAATGTTTTAAACAATAAGAATAACTTTTATATAAAAACAATCTGAGCAAAAGTTGGCACAAATTGGATAACTTGTAAAATGTGGAAATTTTAATGGTTTCGAAGACTAGATGCACCAGAATTAGCACAATTAGCACCTGTAGTGGAATTACTTATTATACAGCTTGTTTGTGGTATAGAGTAATTCTTAATTTGAAAATAGTATGCTGTTAATTATCATCAAAAGTATCAAGATGAAAATGACCAAGAAGTTTTAGTAAAGATAGAAAGAGTAATATATGTTTCAAGAATAATTTTAAACTAAAAATAATTAGTTCAAGTAATAATCCAACTGTAGTGGGTCTACTGTTTTATATGCTGAATAAACAAATATAAATCAAAATTATATAAATATCTGTTTTTAATTTAGTTTTCATAATATTACAGGCCTTTAACTTAAAACATATTAATCTAATTATGTTTATTTAGAGTCATATTGATACTTTTAATGAAATTAATGGCATTCCTATTTTAATTATAAATTGTGTATTAATTATTCATTAGAAAACTTTAATAAATACTGGCTTTACTTGAAAATTAAAAATTAAATTATAAAATAAAGATATAAAAATGCAATAAATGTTTTAAACAATAAGAATAACTTTGATATAAAAACAATCTGAGCAAAAGTTGGCACAAATTGGATAACTTGTAAAATGTGGAAATTTTAATGGTTTCGAAGACTAGATGCACCAGAATTAGCACAATTAGCACCTGTAGTGGAATTACTTATGAAATAGTTTCGAGTGAAACACAATGAGGGTCTCAATGACATCGCTTTCATTTTGCCAACAGTTCACCTGAAAAAGCATCGGAATGTTTGGTGTGTGCAGTAATGTCTGTCCAAATATTAAACTCAAATTCTTGGCTGACATTAAATTCTTGTCCTCATGTGTAGTCACTCTAAACACAAACAATCCATTTATTATAAGCTAATAATATGAGAAATATTTCATTTACTTATAGAGGTGTGAAATAAAAAATTTCAACGTCTGGTAGTTGGCGGGGGGCAACCCATTCACAGCCTCCCTCATTGCAATCAAACGCTGATCGAAGTTACTTTTGTCTGTTTTAATTGATTTAAAATGTTAATTATACAAGCACACAATTTATTTATATAGTCATTCAACTCACTTATGGCTGAAATAAACTTCGGGTACGAATCGAATGTAATCAATGGAATGGGAAGGGATCGGAAATATAGCTTTAAAACACCGGTAATTACGTGAATGTCTTCAAATGCCTTGAAATAGAGCTCCGTTTGCTCCCAATCGCTCTCAAACCTACACTTTAGGGCCTCGATCTCATCGGCAGACCCGGACACTCGGTATAAGCCCTCAGCGTTCAGACCTAACGCAACAAAATGACAATTCTTTATAATTAATCAACAAATGAATGCTAACGCAAAGTACCTCTTCGTTCAACTTCTTTGACACAGAGGTCGACAACGAATGGGCGGACATTATTACTGGCCTTTACGAAAGTGGTCAGTTCCACACCAAATATTCTTCGGATGTGACGCAAATCAGGGCTAAAATAATATTTTAATAGATAAAGTGTTTGAAAGGACCAAAAATAAGTCATACCTGCAATCGTTGGGGACTTTTTCAGAGCACCTGCGATGAGCACCAAATCTGAAACAAAGAATAGTTACCCGTATAGTATAGTATAGTATAGTATAGTATAGTATAGTATAGTTACCCGTATGGTATAGTATAGTATAGTTACCCGTATAGTATAGTATAGTATAGTTACTCGTATAGTATAGTATAGTATAGTTACCCGTATAGTATAGTATAGTATAGTTACCCGTATAGTATAACTTAGTTATGAATTGACATAAACTCCTAGCAAACAATAACATACCCGCAATCTTCACACTTGACTCCCTGTCCAATAATGCCCCAAATAAAGTTGCCGCAGAAGTCGCACCATGGTGAACCCATGAAGTTATGTGTCTTGAAATTATGCATTTTCTCGAACTGCTAACATACCCGCAATCTTCACACTTGACTCCCTGTCCAATAATGCCCCAAATAAAGTTGCCGCAGAAGTCGCACCATGGTGAACCCATGAAGTTATGTGTCTTGAAATTATGCATTTTCTCGAACTGCTGCACATCAATACCAGATGTACTATCGGTGCCATAACTGCTGTCATTATCCATATCACAATCTTCATAGTTGGACAGTCGCTTCAGTTGCATACCTTCCCCTGACTTCATACCTCTTTGGTGTGCCTTATGATGGTTTGAAGTCTTATTCTGATTCCTATTATTCCTATAGAGTGTCATATAAGGAGATTCTTCGTATTTGGTGTTTGCGCCCAAATCAGCGATATAGTCCTTTGCGTGCAGTTCCAGGTATAGAGTGATGAGTCCGTCGGCCACCAAATCGTGGATTGTGTCGAACCTCTTGTCGCCCACGAAATGCTTGCCGTCGTAGAAGAGGCGGAAGTTTTTGGTGATGTTATTGAATCTCAAACTTAGCGTCATTTGTCCCCTATGTCTAAGACTTTCTCTGACGAGATATCTGCCGTCATTTCCCTCTTCAGTCAACATGCGTTCCGCTTCTTCACGAGACAGTACGCCATGAATAGATTAGGTAAGTAAGTTTAGTTATGTTAACAGTGTACGCTAGTGGTCTACTATGTATGAGAGACGGTATTATCCGACCGAATACTCCTTGTAGGGCCGCTGTGTCGTGAGCGAATCCACAGCCACTCTTCTGCTGCAGCTCATACACTGCACATGGGATCAGATGCTATGAATTGAGTCAATGATCACCAAATGGTGGGGACTTACGGTAATGTTTCCATATATTCAAGTCATTACGAGTGGTCTCTGTTTGGTCTCTTTGGTTCAATTGATACCGTATTTCTTGTTTATAGTAATTAGGTTTTGGTCTCTCGAGTGCCATATGAGCTGCCATTGCATGCGGTGGTGATAATCAGGCATTGAGTACCCGATTGGATGACATATAAGTAGAGGTTGTGGTGTTGTTGTGGTTGAATGAGTACACTTCAAGTAATTAGACAGTAAGTTACGTAACGTACGTATCGCGTCACAGACATCACAACTTGCGTAACTAACTTTACTTGCCGATTACTTTCACTAACTTTGTGAGCCTCGCGCAGAGAGCTTTCCCACACATACTTCACCACAAAATGCATATCCATTGAGACACTGATCAAAATGATAGCTAATGTAGAAATGGTTGACTAATTAATAGGAGCACCGATTGTCTCCGTTTACCTCAACGATCATATTTAAAGGCTCGCCGACTCTTTTGTTATGCAAATGACTTTCAAGTCATAATCAAAAGGATATTATATTATTCTGTAGACCATAGGTATTACTATAATACTATATTCTATGCATACATTTGTTGGGAACTATAGACATAACGGAAATAATGTATACGGCATATAAACACTGATAATAGTTTTTAATAAAAAATACATTAATTCACAATAAAAATTGTATTGAATTAAAAAGCAATGTAGAGATCATATGAATGAGCCAATGGTAACACTCGTGAGTTGTGTGACATTCAGTGGTTTACTCTCTTTGGCCTCTAATATGGTTTTGCTTCAAATCATATTAATTCAGGTTTTCTATACATTTAGTCTATTATTGTCTCACATTATAATCGAAATACAAAATTGAATGCATTTTTATGTCGATTTACAAATACATACAGTATTTTTGACAATACGTCAAACTTGGGGTCAGTTTAATGAACTGTTTATTGATTTGAAGTGTTGGGTCACTTCATACGGTATCTCATAATTGAGTGATAATGGAGTGAATGATATGAGTGGTGAATGTGATCAACTATTTACAGACATATCCGGTGCCTAATATGCAGTTATTAATTTCCTAAATATGTCTGAATTATCTGTTTTTACTTTTGTTCACCACTTCTACTAAACTTTTCTTATCAGCAGTTTATTTGCAAAATTGTTTCAATTTAAATGTCGTTTTGGAGTAAATTCTGTAAAATTATATTAAACGGAGAGAAAAACGGAAAGATTGGTGAAAGAGATGCCAACCAAATATCAAACTGTGAAATACAACTCAAGAAAACTTGTGCTCAAGAATTGTGTTCAGAAGATGTGAATTGTGGCCGCAATGGGAAAAGCCATAGACATCCGGTGTCCAGAAATATGTCGGTCTCTCGCTCTGGAAGATATAAACAGAAATTGAGGCGAAAATCTGTTTTGTTTGATGTGCCGGAGTTGGTCTCCAGAAATGATACCAATTCGTCGGATAATAGCAACACATCTGATGACGACAAACAAGTTTCCCAAATGAGTCCATCCGAGTGTGTGATTGAATCCAATGAATGCAAATCTGATCATAATATTCAAGTGTGTGATATGTTTCTCTTAAACTCATAAGCCTTATGATTACTACTCTAAAATCCTTAAAATATGACAACATATATAGAATATTCTTAGATATATACAGTAGATATAAATTAAATGCTATAATAATAAGATAAATGATTTTGTTGTTAACTTTATTTCAAAACCTTTGCGTTCATAGAATACAATACTGTTTGTTTGTTCGGGATCAAAATTGTTCTGAAAATAGTTATCAGATTTTAGATCTAATTTATAATAGAAGTTAAATATTTAAATTTTAAACGATATTTTAACAGCTTTTAAATATTTATATTATTAATAAAATGTTTCC